CTCAGAGTCAGCCACAGTTTGTTATGATCCACACAGTCAAATGCCTTTCCATAATCAATGAAACACAGACATTCTTCTGATATTCTCTGCTTTCAGCTAAGATCCATCTAACATCAACTACAATATACCAAGACCCCTTCTAAACCCAGCTTGGACTTCTGGGCAGTTCTCTGCTGATGTGCTGTCCCAGTCGTTTTTGGATAATGGTCAGTAGAATCTTGCTTGCATGTGAAATCAATGATATCATCCTATAGTTTCCAGACTCTGTTGGGTCACCCTTCTTTGGAATGGGAACAAATATAGATGTCTTTCAGTCAGTTGGCCAAGTGGTTTTTCTCCAGATTTCTTGGCACAACTTGGTGAGCACATCCAGGGCAGCATCTGTGAGCTGAAATATGTCAATTGGTATACCGTCTATTTCTGGGGCCTTATTTTTTGCTATTTCCTTCAAAGCAGCTTGAACTTCTTCCTTCATCACCATAGGCTCTTGCTCATACTAAGTATAAATCATAGTTCTGAGACCTTCCAGACTTCTCATTAAACTTCCCAATGTATCTATTAGACTTGCTGTTGTTTACTACTAAGTCAGAACCACTCCAACAGGGTTTCAAAGACAGTGAATAATATAGGAGGAGACTACTCATCTTACGCAGAGCAGCTGGTGGATTCAAACTGCCTGCCTTTGAATAGGCAACATAACTCCTTACCCACTACACAACCAAGCTCCCTATCAATAGACAGATATCATCCTTATCCCTATTTTAAAGATGAAAAGCCTAACATATAAGCCACATAATTAGCCACTAATACAACAATACAAATCTATCTTATTTATATAAAAAAAAACAAAACAAAAAAATCTGTCTTATTTCTATGTAACACACTCCTACTTGGCTAATTCAATACCCAGGATTCCTAATTCTGTCCTCTCTTGATTCATTATTGCTACGGTGACCACTTACCTCATTTCCATCAAATGGGGTATTAGTGAAAGTCTGTTTAGAGATTCTTTGGAAGACTTCCGTTTTAAACATACAATCACATACATGCACACTCAATATCAATTATTGCTGGAGTCACGGCATTCCCCCTGACTTAAATGTGATTACAAAGCCTAGAGCTGAGTGGTGTCTTATGACAAGAAGAGAGGCATGGAGATTATTAAGAAGCTGAATCACCAAACTTTTGGCAGTGGACCTACAGCAGTAAATCTCCTTTTAGATTCCCTGCTATGTGAGAGAACAAAACCAAACCTTGTCTTTTAAGCCATGTTATTATGCTTCTGTCATTTCTGTTTGAGAGAACAATCAATCAATGCCTTCGGGTTGTGGTGTTGGAGAAGACAACTACCAAGAGAATATAAACAGGTCTGTCCTACAGAAAGTGAAAACACGGTGCTCCTTGAAGGCCAAGATAGTGGAACTCTGTCTCACATACCTTGGGCATGCTATGAGGAGCGGCTGGCTAGTCCTTGGAGAAGGACATCACATTAGAAAGGTGAAGTGCCAATGTGAAGAAAGGAAGACCCACAACAACACACGTCAACATAGTCAGGGTAACAAGTGGGTCCTGTGTGTTGGAGATTGTGAGGTTGGCACAGGATAGGCCAAGGTTCAGACATGCTGTTCATAGACTCAGTATGTGTCGGAGTCAAGTCAATGGTACGTAACAACAACAATGAAGAAAGGACCAAAACCCATCTGCTTTTTCATCAAAGTATCTTTCATCTGTAAAATACATAGACTAACACCTGCTCTCTTCCACATGCCTCAGAAGTTCTAATTAGAAGATACACATAGAGATGTCTTGAAAAACATTACTGTAAATAGTAATTCTCAACTAAGGGGGAGACAGAAGAGGTACATCCCATAGAGACTTGGGACTGGCTGTATTTTGTCTGGGAAGACAGATCAGAATCACCTGGGAAAGTTTTCCCATTACAAACAGCCCCTTGGAAAAGCACTGCAAATCCTCATGCTTTAAATGATAGCTTTTTTGTTGACTACATCATTTGAAATGGGTCATCTTGAAATGATAAAGAAGATTCTGCTTTTCCTTACAAGTTGTTCTTATCAGTTGTGATCAAGTCAAAACTGGGAGGGAAAGGCACTCCAGTCCTTGGTAGCTCTCTTAAACTATCTCATGGCTGACATATCTGCCTTTTGAGAAAAAGTTCAAATGTTTATTTCTCTGTGTTACAAATATATTTATTTTTTTAAAACTCCCTAAGCACATATTGCAAAATAAAAATTTTTTTTAGTCTTAAATGAGCCCAAATTTCAACACAGGCTAAAAATTTTAAGACATAAAATGACTGCTGCGGCTGAATTTTAATCATATAGATGAATCACAACATACGTCTTCAGCTCGGCATGTATTATGGATAAGTCTAGTTTTCTACAGAGAATAATCACATGTTCTAATTACCATTTTGGTTATACGCATAATTAATAATATTCTGTCTTAATGGGACACACTGAATCTTCAGACAGTTGCAAAGCTTTAACTATGCATACTGACAAATCCAACTGTCAGCTGTACTGCCAAACACAAAGGAAACTTGATGTAAGGTTTTAGCATTGATAACAATATGCATATCTTTATACATGATACAATGGAACAATTAATTGCTTTCCTTCATCTAAACATTTCTCCACGCTCATAATTTTATGTTGCTCGATTAACAATTTACCCTAGATTAGATGTATTCACCAGTGATCTTATGCGCAGTAAAAACACGAATGTAAAATTGACCCAAGGTCCAAGGAAGCAGAAAATAGTCTAAGAGAAGCGACTTACTGATTGTAAACTTTCATTCTCACGTAGACAAGCTGTATGAAGTTCTGATTTCAAGGTTGCAATGTGATTTCGGTGAGATGTCATTTCCTTCTCTAATGTAGCAATTCTAGCACTTGCAAGCTGGTAGACATCCACGAAACTTTTAATCATAGCCTTAAGAAATAAAAATAATGTCACATATAATTCAAGTAATGCCGTCCCCAAAGGAGGACTGCCATAATTTGAAAGCAAAATCATTAAAATTTTTAAATAAACAACTTTTCATCTTTAAGATAATGCACTAACCGTCAAGTTTTATATTGAGAACAGCAACTATTTTAAGAAAGTTTGGGGGGAAAATAATTGATACTTCTTTTTATTTAAATAAGATGTACTTTGATCTATTTGCTCAAAATTCAGAATGCAGTTTTTAAAGATGGCACACTTATTTTCTTCACAAAAGTTAAATTCAAGTTACAATTTGACCTAAATTTTTATCTTGAGAGACACAAAACAGATGGATAGGTAAACGAGGTATTACAAAAATGAGCTGAGTTAGTAAAACTTTAAAACCCAAAAAGCAAATATTTTAAAACAAAAGGAGATGAAACAATATTGTGACTTTTCAAGAGCAAATTACATGACTCCAGCATAAGAAAAGTATAACTATGTTCAACAATCCAGGATTATTTAAAATAAGTAGTAATATTATAACAGTTCTGGAAAGGCTTCAGGCCTTTTGTTCATAGCTTCACTATGAGTCGTGCTCAACTCGACAGCAATCAATAACAACAATATATTTATAGTAAATAATACAAGTACTTGTTGGTAACTTTTTATGTCCCCTAAAAGTTATAATATTTTGGGGATTGTTAGCCATCCTATTACTATTTAATCCTATCTCACAGACTTCTTTCTAAAGCAACCTAAAGAAACTGGCACTTTCAGTCCAAGAATACTATTAGAGCTTGTTAAAAGTCTTTCAGAATACCTCAGACAGAGCAAAATAAAATCAAATGTTATTCATGTGGGGGAAAAAACCTTTTCCACACACAGCTACCACTGAATACAATGTAGGCTATCTAAGAATGAAATTGCATTCTATCTGAAGAGTCTGATTAGCGAAGGCAGGGGGAAACGAGGTATTGGAGTGATTCTGAATGCATGTGAAATAATAACTTGGTGAACAAAGAATAAGAACAGTATATACACCACCTGCAAAAAATAAGCAGATTAGTCATTTGTGGGTTAAAGTAATAAAATTCACACTTTGTGCTTAATTTAGTAGTAGGAGGAGGAGGAGGAGTGGCATCCACTTCCTAAATAACATGCCTCTGGAAACTCTACGAAATTTTATAAATTTTGATAGTGGTAGAGGGGATTCAAGCCTTTTGTTCATAGGGTCGCTATGAGTGGTGCTAGACTAGAAGGCAATCAACAACAATAATAAACAACAAACATTATTATTTGCCCTCAAAAATCCAATTCTGACACGAACTTCTACACCCCACCTCTTCAGAACCCCAAGATAGAGTTAACTAAAATCCTGGTTTTCTGTGGCTCCCCACGCCTTTTCCTACTACTGCACTTACTGACATAGAGAAATTTATTCTTTTCCTTTAAGTCAGGACTGTGCTTTACAGAGTCTGTGTCTTAAGGGGTGATATGATAGCAGCCCAGAGTGAGTACTTTTGTGAATGACTAATGAGTGGATTAAAAAAGTAAGTGAATGAACGAAAAACTGGAAAAGATCAAAATTCACAAGTCGAAGCCCTGTACTGGCATAAAATGGCTTAAAGGCAACAATGACAAGCATTGGGAACATGCAATCATAACACTCAATCTCATTAATTCCTTCTCAATGTCGTTTATTCATGTTGGAAAAGCAGCCGCAGCATAGCTATAGGCACCAAATAAGAGAGAAACAAAGGCAAATTGTAAGATTCAACAGTCAACGGGCGCAGTCCCAACCTGCTTCAATTGCAGTCAATCCCGCAGACTTGTCATCTCAACTAGAGAAGAGGAGTCATTTTCTTGCCTGCTTTCAAACGTCATGAGGTGCAGATAACTAAAATAACGGACATTTATTATTTCTTGGAGGCCAGGAACTGCATAGACATTTTTCATGCTTCGTTTCCTTTATCATAACAGGCACGTGGAGTAAACACCACTTTTGACCTAGCTTCCAGAGTGGAAAACAGAGTGTGGGAGGAAGCAAATAATCTGCCCAGGATCATAGTAAGGAATCCACATCAAGAGCATTTAATACAAAGCCACTCCCTTTACCATTCATCAGTATGTGGGTGTCTCATATGAGAACTCATTGCTGTCGAGCTGACTGAGTTGGTGTGACCGCGCAGGACACCATGAGCCGTCTTCTAAGACTTCTGAGGCTGCAAATGTGCATCGAAGCGGACTGACACGCCTTCAGTCAGCAGCCAAGCACGTTACTCACTGCTCAACCAACACTAAGCCTAACTGTTCTTCCCATTCTGTAGCTGAGACGACAACGCGGAGAGATTGATTGCACTTGATGGGAGCTCAGGGCTGTGCTTATTTATAGTTGTCACTGTAGAGAAATCCAACTGATTTTTGTATGTTGATCTTGCATCTTGCTACTTCACTGAATTGGTCGACTATGTCCAATAGTAGCTGCTGAGTCTTTAGGGTTTTCTAGGTATACTATCATATCATCTGCATAGAGAGATAGTTTTCCCTCCTCTTTGCCAATTTGGATGCCTCTTATTTCCTTCTCTTGTCTTATTGCTCTCGCTAAGACTTCCAATACAATGCTAAATAAGAGAGGTGAGAGTGGGCATCCCTGTCTGGTTCCTGCTCTTAAAGGGAATGCCTTTAACCTCTCTCCATTGAGAACGATGTTGGCTCTCTGGTTTGCACAAATACTTTTTGCTATGTTGAAGAAATTCCCCTCTAATCCTATTTTGTTGAGTGTTTTAATCAG